GCCTGTATGCACCAATTTTATGATATCCTACCAGAATCATAGGTTCACTCTTGTCATCAAGCTTCCTTCTTATCGCATCAGGAACATGATTGTAACACATAGAGCCAAACACCTTCAGATGACTCATTGATGATCGTTCTCCACTACGCACTTCTTCAGAAACCCTATTCTTCAATTTCTTGGTAGGGCACCTGTTCAGAATATAAACTGCAGTTGAAACAGCTTCACCCTATTAGGATTTTGGCAAATTCTTCTACTTCAGCATGCATCTCGCCATATCCAATATAGTCTTATTTCTTATTTCTACAATTCCATTATTTTAAGGCGTATAAGAAGCAGTTACCGCATGATCGACACCATATTCTGCGCAAAAATCTTCAATCATCTTGAATGTGTATTCGCCACCTCCATCTGTTCACAGAACTTTGATCTTCTTATCATTATGGTTTTCGACAAGTATCTTGAATCTCTTAAAGATTTCAAATACTCTGTCCTTTCACTTGATCATATAGATCAAGATTTTTCGACTATACTCATCGACAAACGAAACAAAATACATGTTTCCACCAATGGTTAGCTCTTTGGACGGGCCACATACATCTAAATCTACAACTTCGAATATGTAGGGGGTCTCATTGGCATAGTCGAAACAATAGAATTTATGGATTACTTTCCGACTAAACAACCTTCACATATTTTGTCAGTCATCTCAAGAATTGAGATACCAGTTACCATATCTTAAGTAATCAGTTGATTGAGTGATCGAAAGTTCAAATGTCTAAACCTCAAATGCCACAACCAACTATCCTTGTGATCGACAATAGTTTTTAAGAATTGTACCTCTGTCAAACTTATTATAGTCTTAAATGTCTGATTATTCAACAACGGAGATTTTAAGACCAAATTATTCAGGGTGTCGAACAATTTTAAAACTTCATCTATCATGACGACTAAGAAAACTCTTTCTACCATTTGTCCAACAATACTTATTAGATTACACTTCATGCCAGGTACATAAAGTACATCTTTGATCATGGCTTTAGCTACATTTCTTCTTTGAATAACAATGTCACATGTACCTTCTACTTGAAAAGCGCTATTATCAACAAGTTTGACCTTGCTTTTCTTTGACTCGTCGAAATCTACCAAGCACACCTTTTACCCAGTCATGTGATTCAAGCTGCTAGAGTTGAGGAACCATATATTGGATTCGACATGGTTATCTGCAACTGCAGTCATAACCACCATACCATCAAAATCATCTGAATTTTAGCGTGCAAGGTTCGCTCCTTAGTCCTTGCATTTTGTCGATCCATTGTCTTTAATGTACAACCAACGCTTGGCCAAGTGGCCCCACTTTTCACAGTTCTAGCACTACACACCTTTTTTTATTATCTTATTTGTCCTTTAGATAGTTTCCTCGTCCTATTTTCGAGGATTCTGAAGCCCTGTCATCGACCTGATGCTTATTAGGGTTCAACCAAGACTTCTTGCCTTGAGTCTTGTCGACTTTGCCTTTGAATTTGTTGGAACCACCATTCCTTTTTCATGTCTGAGCTTGCAAAGCTTGTATCAAATCTTGAACTCTTTTCCTTTCGACAATCCTAATCTCATGCGCTTCGAACCAACCAACCAAATCTTCCTGTTTCAGGGTTTTAAGTTGATTGGATTTTTGAATAGCTACGATAATGTGATCAAAGTGAAAGGTCAACCTATGCATTACCTTTTCAACTATCATCTTATATGTTAGGGTTTCACCATAATCCTTCATGAGATGGACGAGTTTCTGTATCTTCGATACATACTCTACAATCTTTTCGTCTTCTCCCATCCGATAATAATTTATATTGTTGATGCAATGTCTACAACTTGACAACCTTGACTTTTCAATCTTTTATAGTACTTGACAAGAATATCCTATGCCTCCTTCGCCGATTAAGCATGAGAGATCTTGTCGAAATTCACCGCTTCGATCGTCGTTTGAATGCAATACGCAGTCTTGCAATCCTTCTTCTTAGTTTCATTGTGAGTGGTCTTTTGTGTGTCGGTTGCATATGCAGCCAGCGCAGGAATGTCATTCATAACCACTTCTAGGATTTTATAAAAGCCAAATAGAGATTACATTTGTTTTCTCCATCGAATCCAATTCTTTCCGTTAAGAGTTGGAAGAGACCTTAGAATATCGTTTGTACCATTCATCTTCGCAGCGATTGATTGACAACAATCCATGATTCCAGAAGTATGATCTCTGACGCGTGATTCTTGAAAACACGATCAAGAATCTTATTGGAGTTCTAGATACCAATTTAATAGTGCATGAGACATTTTTAATGAGGGGAGAAAGATAAAGAGAATAAGAAAATAAAGATTATATTATTGAAATTAAATTATATAAATAACAATACAAATTATGACTATTTATATACACCTGACTAATATATTAAATAGACTAACAATTTCTAATTAAACTTAAACTTAAACTACATCATTTAGATTAGATCTAATTTCTCAACATTACATTCATTTCTGATATATGATTTTAGAAGGAAACAATTGTTATCCCCGTAACTTTTCGAGCAATTGAGTCAAAAGCATAAACTCAAAATGAATTCATTAAAAAATCGTATGAGCACCACTAGTCATAGTGCAAGATTAATTTGAAAGAGACTCACCTTTAAAAGAGATGAAAAAACTATAAAAACAAAACCCTAAGAGATACCGTACAAATATTGAAGGAGGGTGGGAGTCACATGGCTTTAAGCAAAGAATGTCTTACAATATAATCCCACGTCGCAGTGTTTCGATTTTTGTGTCGTGTGTGAGACACCATCATCATCATGCATGCCAAATTATTTTTAAAAAAGTCACATTTTTCTATTTATTATTTCTTTATAATTGCTTCTTATAATGAATTTAATAACATTGTCCTTTATTATAGTATACCTATTTGTCTTTCTATAATTTTATGTCATATTGACAGGTAGGTCATCATGCCCTCCCACTTAAATTACTTCATGTCCTTCTTCTAATTCTTAGTGTAACAAAAAAACATACACTAAACAACAAACAACTCAAAAAATTGCACTTTGTTTCATCTCTATTATTATTTATTAATTAGTTTGAACTTTTTAGTATTACGATGCACTTTTTTGTTTAAAAAATAATACCAGTAATTATGTATAAACCATTTTGCATGATCAGTGAGTGATCAGAGATTCATTACAATATGATTTAATTAATTAAAAAAGATGATGGGTAATGTGAAAAATAAAATAATAATTTTAATTGAATTTAGTATATTGCTGCCATACCACTCTTTAAAAACTAATATACCTTTAGAGTTACTTCTTCCAAAACTTGTAATAAGAGTCACTGTAAAAGTAAACTTTTTGACAACAACATTTTGAAAAGTTGCATTATTCCAAAAGCATGCAGTTGAATGTTCAGAATAAGTCCAACCATTAGAATCACTTTGAATAAATAAACAAAAAGCTCAAAAAATAAAACAAACAAACATGCAAAATAAATAAATATCTAGAAAATTAATTTTAATTAGTTTATTAAATCTCTAAATATATATTTATGAATTCTTTTTCTTTTGAGCAAGTATTTGTGTTTTTAAGGAATTAAATTTTTTGAATATTTTTGTTGACCATTATTGATTGTTATGAAATATTATGATGAAATCAATGAGGAAGTAGAAGGTGATTAGGGCTAAAAAGGAGCTTTTAGGGACATAAGAAAAACAAAAAGGATGAGACCCTTTATGGTCATTTTCTTCTTGGGACATGGCCCTAAACTGTTAGCTGGCAGGACCCTTCTCTTTTGTCCACTCCTCCATTTAAATACATAAATTATACACTAACTTATAGGATTAATTAAATTTTTACTTTTTCTTTCTTGAAAAATATTTCTTTTATTCAAATTCAAATCTATATATATATATATATATATATATATATATATATATATATATATATATTGGCCTTTGTTGAGTGTTTTATTTTTCTCTATATTTATATATTTTACCATTAATTTTTTTATAAAAAAAAATTGATGTATTACTAATTAAGAAGGACTCATTATCTATTCTATAAAAGTTGTATTATTCAAATAAAAAATTTTAGATTGTATGTGATACATCTTTTATTTTTTATACAATTTATAAGACTTACAAAAAAAAATTAAAATCAAATGATCAAATTTATTAGTTCATTTATCCTTTAGGATAATGGTCTATGAATCTTATAAACTCTTTTTCTAGGTTGATAAAGCCATGTGAGTTTTACTAAATTTGTCCTCCTCTTCTTCATCTCTTTTTTATACACATATTTGTGCTTTGATTTTAAATGGGTTTAATACCCCTTTATACTCATTTTATATGAGCTTCAAAATATAAATTTAAACATTGACACTATCAACTTTGAGTAAGCCAATATTTTTTAATAATAAATTATTAAACAATTAATATACATAATATAAATTCTAAAAATAGTATTAGAAGAAAGTATAATATTATTTCATTTGCCTTAACGTGATTCTTTAGTTATGTATATTATTTTATTGTAAAGTATAATATTATGTATAACATACATGAAATATACTATAATATATGATATGATTATTTATTCAATTGACAGACAGACCTCCATTCTTTGTTCTATATTCTTTCTCTCTCACATAACTTCTGCAAATAGTTTACCCCACAAACATCCAAACAAAAAGAATTAATAGAAAGTGAGATTTGCAAGAATTAAAGGAACCTCTCAAACACCAAATTCAACCCTCTATATAATCTATAGTTCATCATATTTATGTGGCTACCATGTTACTATTAATATCTCTTCTCTTTGTTCATCATCATCATCATCATGGTCCTCATCATGTCAAATCTCTCTAATTCACAATATATATCCAAGATTCAAAACCAAAACCCCTTTTTCTCTTCTTCTTATTTCATCATCATCATCATCCATGGCTTGTTTTGAGATTTGTTCATCATGACCATGGTTCCTTCTCAAACCAACAAAACTAATAGTGATTATGTTTTCTACAACAATACAACAAGTGATATGAACCACTTTCAATTTGTTGAAGATTACAACAACTACAATAATTGTTTAAGATCTGAATTTTTGTTCAAGCACATGGCTGAAGAAGAAGAATCCTTTTCAAGACTCAACACTCGTTATAATAACGAACCCGAACCCGAACTCGAACCTGAACCCAAACTAGAAACTATTTCTACCTCAAAGGAAAACGAAGAACAAGAAAGAGAATCAAACAACAACAATAACACCAACAACTGGCTTCAATTAAGCATAGGTAACACCGTCCTGACATCAACAACTACAAAACATGACGTTGATGTTGATCACAGTCAAGCTCCAACAAACAGTTCATGTCAGTTGGAGCTTGAACTGTTACCAACAAATTGGACTTCATCAAGGTCTGACTTAGAGCAACCTTCGACTAAAGATTGCTCTATGTTTTTCGAGCAAACAACTCCGTCTTCTTCTTCATCGTCCATGTCCATGTCCATGTCCATGTCCATGCCAGCCGGTCCATCTTATAGCCATCAACAGCATCTAGTCCCACATAACTGGGCATTTGGTCCATTACTACCACATTCTATGGCAATCATGGCTCCTTCTACATCTTATATCCCATCTTCTTCTTCTTTTTCTTCGTCGCAATCTTGTTCGTCTTTAAGACCTTCTTTAGGACCTAATTATTATCCTCAATATCATCATGCATCACCTTTTCATTTCCCTTCATCTTCTTCTTCTTCTGGATTTGATCAATTTGATATTGCTGGACCTAGCTCATCATCTCATCTCACTTTTCGCGTCGTCGATCCTCCTCGTCGACCTCATTCCGGAATTTGGTTTATGCTACAAGCCTCACAAAATCAGTAAGCTAATATTTCATTCATTTTTCCTTCTTGCAAAATATTTTAAACTAGTAGTACAATTTATTTATTTATTTTTCTAATATATTAATTTTTTTTTTTTTTATAATTTGTAATAACGCAGAGTGAAAGAACCATTTTTGCCTCAAATACCTAAGAATTATCTTAGAATCAAGTAAGTGATCATGAAATTTTTTTCTTTAATTTCTTAGCTAGCTTTTTTTTATTTATAGATTTTTTGTTTTTTGTTTTTTGAAGTCTTATCAATGTATAATCAATGTCGTTCAATATTTAAAATTTATATAAAAAATTAATGATGATGTAGTTTTTGACTTTTGAACAAAAATTATATTCAGAGATGGAAGAATGACAGTTAGGTTGCTAATGAAGTATCTGGTTAACAAACTCAAATTGGAGAACGAATCAGAGGTACTTAATTCATAACTTAATCTTAATTATTTGTTAATTAATTAATATACATAATGTGTTTTCTTGCTAAGATTAGTATTTATTTAGTCATGCAACTAAATTCTAATCCCTCCCTCTCCCTCCCTTATTACTATCTAATTAAGGATTAAGGTAATGAAATGTGTTTATCTATATGTGATATATATGGATAAGTCATTTTGTTAAAAAGTTATTAAGGAGAAAAAAAACAACAATAACAATATGTTGTTGGTAGGAAGTGCTTTTGTTGGAAGTTATTTTCCATTTGTGTTTTATTTGAGTTCCAAACTCAAATGAAAGTGAGTTCAACTTAACAAATATATTATGTGGCTTTCAAATAGGGTTTTATGTTTTGTGTATTAAGTTTGGTGGAAGTGGAAATTTATAGGTAGTATCAAGTTAGGTGTACCGTAACTATTCAAAAGGAAAATCTTATAAGTTAAAGATATATAAGATATATATAATATAAGTTTATTCTTATAGGAAACAACAAAGTAGTACATTGAATATAAAGTTAAAAGAAAATGTAATTCAAAATCTAAAGACGTAACATAATAAGCACTTTTTATAGAAGTTTTCTCATATATGTGCATGTTTTAGTTGAAAGCTAATGATTTGAAGTATGTATGGAATTCTAAATTGTTGTATTTGCATTGGTTGGTGATTTTTTGTGTACTTTGCTTTTAGATAAAATTGATGATGATTTTTATGTGCACGAGGCCATGCATTGAGTGATATTATTATGCATTAGTGACATTATTGTGTGTGTCCACCATGAATGAAACTTGAAATACTTCATGCACACACTTCATCATAGAGTTTCACCACTACTACTTGTTGCCTCATAATTACTTAATAAAAGGTTTGAATCCATATGGAGTACAAGAAATGAATTAAGCATCATGTGTATTTGGATCTTAATTATAATAGTCATGCATGCCCTTATATGTATTTCTATCTAAATTTGACCTAGGAAAAAAATACCTATGGTACAATGATTAGATGTTAAAACTTATCAATTTTTATTTTTAGATTGTATCATAGATTTTGATATCTTCTAATTCAATATTCTTTGGATTTAGGTTAAAAGTGATTGAAGTTTATCAAATTATTTCATTTTAAAATAATGATTTTCTAAAAAAATTATTGATTTATAAATATCAATAACTTATTTATATTAATACATAAATATAAATAAATATCATCAAAAGTGATCGAATTCTATAGGAATAACTTAGACTCATTTAACTCAATTAATAAACATAAGTTAATTTATCCCACTCATAAAAAAAATGAATTTTGTTATTGTTATTCATACTACTCTTCTAATCTCTACTCTTTCTTATAAGAAAATATATATCTTTTAAGATTAATAAATAATTAATGTATATGTAGAGAAAATATATTACTTATTCAATAAATATAAAAAATTAAATGGAAATTTCGTATATATATTAAAAAAACTCAAATCAATTACAGAAAAAAAGAACATAAACAATAAAGACTAGGCTTGTGAGATTAAAAAATAACTATTTTTATTTTTAATATTGCCTCAATGGGAATCAAAAGAATAGTGTCAATTGTTAATTTGAATTTGTTGTCCACTATACGTTCATGGTTTGCATTACCTACCAAACAAAGTCTAAATAAATATATGATATTAGGTTGCAGGACACATGCAATAGACATTCCATTATAATTTCATGCAAGTTACCCTTAGGTCAACCCTTCTAGTTCTGATTTGATTTTCATTCCAAATATTCCTTATTTTTATTACAATATTTTTTCCCTTACAACTCATGCTTTTAAGATCAGATTAAGACTCTACAACATCTTAATAATGATGATAATTAGTATAATTAATTAGAGTTGTTCTATAGTTAGAATGTGTAACGCACTCAACATTCTCCTATATAGCTGCATGCATGTTTTAGATTATTTTTGATTTGATGTTGGTTGATGTTATGATGTGGTCAACCTAAAACTACTTGGTTTTTTATAAGCCAAATTAATGGCCATAAAATATGAATATGGCTAGCTGGTTAGGAGGTTCCATGCTGCCCAATATGGCAAATCTCACACATAGTTGACTTATGCTTAACTTGGAAGTAATTAAATATCCAATGATTAGGGGGACAAATATGTGGATTCTCTATAGGTAATTTTTTATTGGAGAGTTGGCAAGCGAAGAGAATTTTTGAACTTTGGATGAACATGAATTACAATCAACGATTTTGAGGATTTTAGATGGTTGGATAACTCAACTTAATTATTTGAGCTAACATTTGAAGAAATTGGAAGACTTGGGTTTAAACCACATCAAATGAAGAAGAAGAAAAAAAAGTAACTTAACACTTATTACTTACATTATCGATAAAAAAGAGACTATTTTGAGGATTTGAAGATTGATAGATTAGTTGTAACAGAAGAAATGGGCTAAAAGACTAATGAAATGGGGGATTTTGACAATTGTCTCATTGCTAATAAATATGTTTATTTAATTAAGATATAAAACCTTTTAGTGTTAATTAATTAATTATTGATTAGATCATAAAATTTTTAGTGAGATGGTGGGTGCAAGTTAGTCTAAGAAATTGGTATGAGTCTTCTAACGAAGATAGTTTGTGTTGGAATCTTGATAAGGATAGTTCTTACTAGATAAAAACGACATAGTTTTTTATGTTATGTTATAATTTGAATTAGAATAATCTTGTTATCGGGGTTAGGAGAGTCTTATCTCTGATTTATGGTTAAAAGTCATGAAATTTTTTCAATGTTATAAAAAAGAGATTCGGTAGAAATACTATTTTGAGGCTCAATACAGAAAGAGGTTGAATTATGGAAGTTGAGATTAAGTTGGAAGTGAAAAATCATTTTGTGAATAGATTCTCTGAACCTATGCCTATTAGACATGTGTTGGATGGGATTTTGTTTAATCGATAATTTGGAGAAGATAAGTTCTTTTTGGAAGCTTTTTTTTTGTTGATAAAATTAAGCATGGATTTCCTCTTGGTTTAATCGGACGGAAGCTCCTTGTTTAGTCGGATGGATTTCCTCTTGGTTTTCTTAAGAAATGTTGGGATTTGTTAAAAATGATGTGGTTAGTTTTGTGTCGAATTTTCATGAGCATGGCAAGTTGTCTAACGCTATAACAACTTCCTTTATAGTTTTATTTACTAAAGGTGAAAATCCTCAGAGAGTTGACGAGTTTAGACTGATTTATTTAGTTAGTTATTTGTATCGTATTATCTCAAAAATTATGGCGTGTAGACTAAATGTGGTAATTGGAAAATTAATATCTTCTTCTCAATCGGCTTTTATAGAAGGTAGGCAGACGTTGAATGGGATTCTGGTTCTGAATGAGGTGGTTGACTATGCTAAAAGGAATATAAAGGAGTGTGTGGTGGTAAAGGTTGATTTTGAAAAGGCGTACGATTGTGTACCGTGGGGGTTTCTTAGATATGTCTTTGGAAGGATGGGATTTGGGTAGTAGTTGATTTCTTGGAATGAAGGAACAATTTTCTCTAGTTTTATCGGTGTTAGTTAATGGTAGCTCGACGGAGGATTTTGTCGCGTCTAGAGGTCTTAGACAAGGCGATCCCTTGTCTCCCTTTATTTTCTTATTGGTAACAGAGGGTCTGGCAAGTTTAATAAGGAACACATTTGATTCTGGAGGTTTTCGGGGATTCTATTTTAATGAGAATATTCACTTTGAGTTGCTTCAGTTTGCATATGACACAATTATCATTTGTGATGGTTCGTGGTCCAACTTGTGGTCTATCAAAGCAATTATTAGAGGTTTTAAATTGGCATCAGGTATATGTATCAATTTAAATAAGAGATAATTGTATTGTATTAATGTAGAAGACAGCTTCCAGATTGCAACCTCTTCTGTCTTGGCTTGTGAAATATGAAGGTTTCCTTTTCTCTTTCTTGGTATTCTAGTGGGAACGAATCATAAAAGGAGGGATACTTGGACGCCAATTATTTCCAAGTTAAAGAAAAAGCTTCATTATTGGCGAGGCAAAAACTTATCTTTAGGTGGGAAGGTAATGATGTTGAATTCGGTTCTAAATAACATTTCTATTTTCATGTTTTCCTTCTTTAAAACTCTTACAACCGTGAAGGAGGAAATGGTGAATATTAAGTGGTTTTTTCTTTGGGGGTAACGATGATCATAAGAGGAATATTTTTTGGGTCAGTTGGGATATAGTGTTTTTGTCTAAAGAAGATGCTAGTTTGGGATTTAGGAATGTCGAGAATTTCAATTATGCTTTGATCAGTAAATGGGGTTGAAGGTGCTTAGCTGATTCAAAGGTGATGTAGGCTGACTTAATATCTTTTAGGTATGACAATAGCTTGGTGAAATTTGTGGACGTGGATTTGACAAGAATTTAAAGAAATCATCGATTTGGTTTTCTAACAGTTTATCGTGTAAATTAGGGACATGTTTGTTTTTCAATTACTGGGATCATTGTTGGTTGGGAACTATTCCATTTAAGGTACCTTTTTCCAATTTATACGTCGGTTGTTCTTCGAAGAAGCTTAAGGTGGTAGACATGGGCTTGTGGGTAGGGGTGCAATAACATTGAGATTTAAGAGTGTGTGATCAAGTTTTATCTATGGAGTTGTGTGAGGATTGACTCAATTTGTGTTCATTATTGAGTGATATTTTTCCTAAGCGGGATAAGGTTGATTTAGTGACTTGGTGGAGAAATCCGGATGGTTTTTCAGTGAAAAATAGCTATCAGAGATTGTACACTTTGAAGTGTTCTAATCTTTTTTTGGATGATACAAGATTAAAGGCGATAAGGAAGATTTTGAAAGCTAAGGTCCCGAGTAAAGTGAAGTTATTTGGGTGGTTGTTGATTTTGAATAGTTTACCAAGTAGAACTGAATTATTCAAGAGAAGTGTGTTGTATGATGTTAGGCAGCTAGTGTGTCTCGTGTATCAGGTGCAGAATGAAGTTATCAGCCACTTATTTTTCTAATGCAGTGGTTCACGGTAGGTGTGGGGGTTGTTTTTCTTTAGTTGGCAGGTCTATGGGGAGGATTTTCTTGGAGGGGTTGATGGCAGGAATGACGATTCAATGCAACTTTGTTTGGAACATGCTTATTCTAGTTTAGTTAAGGTAGTTCCTCCTTTCTTTTGTTCTTTCTTATGGATTTTTGTTTGTTGGTGTTTATGGTTGAGTATGAACAATGTTGTGTTTAATGACAAAGTTTAGAATGTTGGGAACATTTTGACTCTTATTAAGGCTTTGAGTTAGGATTGGTTTTCTCTCTTGGTTAAATGTGGTATTGATTTAGATAAGGATGTGTGAAATGAAAATCCTTTGATGTATGTTGGTGTGTAGTGTTTTGTGGTTTTGGATTTTGTTTCTCCTTTGCTATTTTGGTTTTTGTATTGGGTTAGCATAACTTGTGTTGTTTAATACAAAATTGCTTATAAACAACCCTAAATAATCTTTTTATTTTGATTAGGCCTAACACATCCATATAAAATTATCTTGTAAGATAGAGGTGACATTACTTTTAAACTTTTCTCAAGCTCTACCTTTAATCAATATGGAACTTTAGTTTTTCTCAACACAACTCATTGTGTCCAACACTATTGAAATTGGTGTGTGAGTATAAACAATGGGTGGCCCAATCGATATATGAGACTTGATTTTTCCAATACATTCCCTCATGTCCAACATTATTAGGCTTGATGCATGGATATAAATAGTAGGTATATAGAATTTATATCACATTAAAATTTTGAATAAGACTAACACAACCTTACACAATCGACTTGTAAGGTACTCTGTGTAAACTCTCTATAAACTTTATCTCTAATCATCGTAGAATCTAGGTTTTTCTCAATAATAGGGAATCACGTGGCTTCGTTGATACAAAAATAAAGTAAGCCTATTACTCCATAAGGATTTCAAAATTCAAATTTTGAAATAAAAGGATTCGAGTATCTTTGTTTATAAAAATGAAACACATAGATGTTAGAAATCTTCATATAGAGTTGAAAAGAAATACACAAATTGTTTTTTTTCCTTTGCAATAATAATATGAATAAGAATAATATAGTCTCGGAAATCATAAATTCAAGAAATCAATACTATTTTCCATGGAGGAATAAAAGATGTGTACCATACACTTTTTTACCACCTTTCCTAATTGCTTTTGTAATTTATAAAGAATGCATTGACTTTAAGATATATAATGTTGTTAATTTAAGTAAAACATGATATTCTAGGGCTTTGAAAATCACACGTGGACATGTCATTCTCACCACTCAAAACCTATCTGCATGCCCTCTCCTTCTCGTCATGCTAAGGCCAAAGCCATTTTATTATGTAGGCCCTTTTTCTCCTTTTGGCTTAAAAGCCTCCATTGATTTTTCAAGTGCTGCACTCTCATATAAATGGAGCCAAAAGAAAGAACCACATCATGTATAGCATCTTCCACCTACCACAGTAGGTAGTCTCTAATAAGAACAAAAACTTAATATAATTCAAAGTATCTTAGGTGTATTTGTGGGTTTGTACATGCATATACGTATATTATGGCTAAATATGGGTTGAAACTATATTAAATTAATAATTAAATTTAAATCTACACTATGTATAGGAAATTTCAAAGATAACTATTAGTTGGTTAACTTTTTGTGTTAAACACTTACTCTTAAGATATAATTGTCTTTAAATTCAAATTTAAATTAAAAACATACATATTAAATTTAAAATATAGAGAAACATATAAGAGTTCTAAGAGAATAATATATGGTCCGAACATATATTTATAAATAGGGATAATTTCTACTCTACAAAACAGTTTTTTATGGATGAATTAGATTCAATCATATTTTTTAATTTCATATCAAAATCTGATTTAAAATTTAGTGAATTACCTTCTATCAAATTTCTGTTATTAGGCACCAGCATTTATTTTTATGTTCTAGATATCAAATTCTAGAAATAAAGAGGTGTGTTAAAAGTTTCGAATTGGACAATATATGTCATTAATATATATTTATAAGTAGGGATAATCTTCATTATACAAATTTATTATTTTAGAAATGAGTTAAACTCAATTACATTTCTTAAAAGAAATTGAAATAACATAGTTACATATATGATAGGGATTTGATAGTAGATGTTGTTAATGATGGTAGCATTGACAAACTCCGGTACAATATTATTCATAATATGTTTGATGGTAGAGTATATCTGCAAACAATTTAAAGATTAAATTACTTATAACACTAAATGTGAGGTTTAAATTTTTAATATATTATACCTAAATTTGAGTCATTTTTTAATTTTATAATTAGGGTTTAAGGTTTCAAATTTCTTAAAATCTTATTCTAAAAGACATATTAGAAGAATGTCTAATTAAAATCTTATATGTTTATAGAATGCGCCTATCTTCTAATTCACCTTATTTCTTAAATAAGATATGAATAAATAAATAAAACTAAAATTAAAATTATACAATAAATATAGTTAAGTGGTGAGTGTCACTTTTTATTAGAGTTAATTTACTTATACAAAATCAAATTATAAATATTTTTATAAACCAAATTTTTTTAATTTATATAAAACTTGGGTTTTTCAATTACTTAAGAAATGGCATGAAGTTAGCCTCTTTTTATTTCTTCTTTGACATGACATTTAGAATTGTTAGCTATTTATAGTTGATGATGTAAAATCAAAAGTACTATAATTTCATGTTGTAATGTTGACGCTCGCATGCATTAGGGTTTCGGTGGCGCAACGTGATAGAGACGTGCATTATGACCTTGAAAGTTTAGTAATAGAAAACCATGATTAGGTCCCTTCAAAGGAACAAACCAATATATATTTTTTATTAAAGGTGTGTATATTCTTAGTATATATATATTAACAAATCATTTTCTAGATGAGTGGAATTCATATATTTTTTAAATTATTATGTTTTCCTACATTTCACCTAAACTTATTCCTCGCCGTACTTCATGGATCCTACATGCATAATTATATAACAAATTAACAATCTATCCTATCTTATTATTGTGTTGAATTTTCGTTTTTTAAATTAAATTTACATTACTTTAATTTATTATATTTTTTACCATAGTATTTGGCTTCCATATGTATTTATTAGTTGATTTTATAGAATAACAAATTAATAATACATATTTTTTTATTGGCAAACATGTTAACCCTAGAAACTCTTACTAGTGAATATCTTTCAAATTTACTCTGAGTTTGATGAAAAATTAGTTTTAATTGAGTTCGAATTTAAATATATGTTTTACTCAATTTCATAATATAAATATGAGACGGATAATAGAGACACTAATATTCACCTCGAATTCTATTTATTGATGATTTAGAATATTTAATTTTTAAATTTTAGAATTAATTATTTGATAAATATATTGATATTTAATTTATATTTGATTATTTGAGATATTTAAAATTTATGTTTGAAATTTTTAAGATTATTTGATATTATTATTTAATCTAATTTAATCTAATAACATCAATTTTTTGTTTGTTGAATTAAAACTAAATATTTGTACTTTGTTACAAGTTATGAGTAGTGATGTCCATAACCGACTCAATTTATTTAAAGATTGTATATAAATTAGTTGTAGTTAAATATAAAAAATATATAAAAGTTTAATTTTATTATAATTTAACTATTATAAATATTTTATGAGACTTTGTTTAAATTTAAATTATTTATGATAAATTTAAAATTTTGTACATTAACCAGTCTAACACATCTTCAAATACGGCATTGGTAATACCATTTAATACCATTTTCATATCATATAAGTGTACTAGTATTACCCTATCATCTACTAGTATAATGTATTGGGGTATGGTGTATATCTCATGGGAAAAAAATGAAAGTCTAAGGGGTAATGATTATGGCTTAGGAAGAAAGTCTAAATGGGTCCCTTTCCCTCCCCATAATGATTAAAGATAGGGCAGTTTTTAATATCGTGGGTTGGGTGGCCAAATATAGCGTGCATGCTTTAAGATTTAGGAATCAAAATCACTTTTATTTTTTCTCTCAAAAATCCAAAAATACAAACCAAAGTGGATTTATGATTCAATCTTATGCGTAAAATTCAAGTTTACAAAGATCTCATCTTTTCATTTCTAACGTAGGTCCAATACTACGTAATCTTCTTACTCAGCATGACTTCATACTCATTCATTTCAATACATAAATTAACCACCATGTATATAATTAGTTTAATCATGGCTAATTATAAAAAGTTTTAAAAAATGGTCGCGACCGTGTCTCAGTCGTATAAAATTTTCGTAATTTTAGTCAGTACAAATATATTATAATCGTCGTAGTGTAAATTAATCACAATTTATTCTTCAATATATAAATAGTAATAATAATATTAGTATTAGTATGTTCCAAAACTGTTTGGCCGCGCTTGTTTTTTCGGTTGCAAACTGTTTTTTAAAACATTAAATTTATAGTATGAAAAATATTTCAATAATTAGTTTTCTGTTTAAAAAAATGATAATGATGATGAATTACTATTATTGCAGATAGAGATAACATGCAAAGGACAACAACTTTTACCTTTCTTGACGTTGCAACATGTGAGGGATAATATTTGGACACCAAGGGACACAACAACAACAACAACAAGACCTTTGCTTTCAGATTCCTCAACAACAGATCATGTAATGGTGCTTCATTACTCTAGAAGCACTTCTTAGAAAAAGCACTGCTCAAATAACTTATATTCTGCATCATTGTATCCATTCTTGTTAACTTATTATTGTCTAAACTCTTTTTTCTTCTAGTTTTCAATTTTTATATTTTAATGAGTTTTGATTTTGATTTATTTTTGTTTTATTTTGATATGGCATATCATGAGAATTTAATTACCCTAAAACAGTGTTTATTCTTTTACTGTTTTGGGGTGAGGGAATTGTTGTCCAAAATTGTATGTTCATGTTAGGTGAGGTGAGGTGAGTGAGAAATTTGCCATCAATTGTAATTTGTATTATCAAGCACAAAACTCAATCTAATTTTATATACTAACCTATTTTTTTTTCTTCTTTTTTTCTTTTTTTTTACCTTTTTGTTATTCTCTTTATTCTAGAAAAAGTAATGTCATGTGATTTCTTTTAAGAAATGGATGTACGGAATACAGGTGTGCGTGGAATAAGAGTGTGATTTTTTCTCTCCATGATTACTAAATAATTCATGTAAAAGAATGGAAAAATATATTTAGAAAAAAAATACTATATTTGTTTTATAATATTAATATTTAAGTTTAATAAATATTTAATGAGAGTGTAAAGTAATTTTAATTTAATAATAAACTAACCATCTTAATTAATTTTAAAATATAAAAGTAATTTAGTAAAATAGACGATATTTATTAATTGATAGTATAAAATTATTTTATATTGTGAATGTGTCTTCTATTTTTTATTAATTGTTTATTTAATTTACGCTTTTCTGTCTTAATTGAACGATTAGTAAATTCTAAGTTCATTTATATTATGTAATTAATTTAAAAAATTTAATCATGATTTTAGAGTTTATATAAATTTAAGAGGAAAATTTTATTTTGGTTTCTCACAAAAATTACCTAATTCAAATTAATTCCTCATAAAAAAGATTTAATTCCTTACAAATTTAACCTGATTATATTAATTTTTTTATTAATTTTTTTCTCAAATCATTTATTTTCATACTTTTAAACTGTGTTTGGACTATTAAATTGTATTTTATTTTTTATTTTCATTTTTCTAAATACTAATTTTATATTTATTATTAATTTTAATTTTAATTTTAAACCGTGATTAGATTGTCATGTTGGATTTTATTTTTTATTTTTTATTTTTTATTTTTTTAAATATTAATTTGATTTTTATTATTAATTTCAATTTTAATTTTAAACAATCCAAATTTAAAAATATAAAAAAAGAAGACCAAAAATTATTCTTAGACAAGGATCTTTAAGCTGCTTCATATATATTTACTACTATGTCAATATAGATTACTTAAAGATAATTTTCATAATTTATAGTAATTTTAAACAATTTTGATTTTAAAATAAAAAATATGAATATAAGTCTCGTCAAGTTAAATCGTAGTCACTTTACAACGAGACCAAATAGTTTAAATTGTTAATATTTTTAATAATGAACATTTAATTTAATAATTCAGAATAAATATTTAATTATTTACTTATTACTTATTTCAAACAATACACAAATTTTAAAATAAAATTAATAAAATATAAATACTAAATATAATTAATTAATCAAATAAAAATAAGTAATTAATGGTTAATTAAATTACTATTAAATTAATTTATTATTATTTTATTTGAATTAATTCAATATTTTTAAATTTTAATTTTAATTAAATAAATATTTTAATAATTAATTATTATATCAAAGTATATGATTCTCACATTCATAAAAACATTAATATATATATATATATCTTTTTAATTCGGTGATCGAAGATAAGTGATGCATAGATATCCAATATATCTCTTTCTAATTCGTATTTTTTCAAAATTATTTTTTTATTATTATTTGATTGAGAAAATATTATTGAAGAAATAAAACTCATTCTCCAATTATCGTGTTTCACTCTCATAAAATCATTATTTTTTATAGATATTATTCATACTTTTCACAATAAAACTTTTTATATAGATATTAATCATACTCATTCAGAATATGTTTTTACATTATTTGAATAACATTACTTCACATTTTATTTGAATACACTTCACTATTGCAAAAAATATATTTCACTTCGGATGTGAAATATATTTAATCTTGACTACAAAAGTGAGGTAACGAATGATATAACACTCTATTTTTTATATAAAATGATTTAACGTATTATATTTGATTTAATTATGTATTTTATGTGAATTATGTATTTCATATGCGTCGAGTATGGAGGGATGGTTGAGAGGGATATGATAGAAGTGAGTAGAATAATTTGGAGCTTCTCGAGTAAATGTGAAAGTATGAGAAATTGAGAGGTTAGTTGAAATAAGTTAGAATAATTTAAAATTATTTTAGTAATTAAATAATAAGAGTTTATTTAATTAATCGAATAAACAATATTGAAACAATAAAAATATATGAAAAAGTGAGTGTGTAGAGATTTTAAGGGCAGGGTGATAATTACAAGGTTAAGTTGAGGGTATTATAGGGAAAGCTGGTAGAAATAAGTTTACGAGAAAAAGAAAGAATAAGAAAAAGGAGTCCGATTTCATCGTACGTAGAAACTTGGAGGAAAGAGAAGGAAAGCTAGGACAAGAGGCTAAAGGTGATCTAGAGGAAGAAGGTGAAGGTTTCACTTTAATTTTTGCAAGCACTACGCTAAAAAAGACCTAAGAAAGCGCTTTTTTTGCCCTTTAGCAGCGCTTAAAAGCATTGCCTATGGTGGCGCTGTCGTAGGTATAGACAACGCTTTTTTTTTACGCAAAAGTGCTGCCATATGTATTCTTTAGCAGCGCTTTTCTCTGGAAAAACGCTTTTTAAGGTAGGCCTCTAGCTGCGCTTTTTCCTGAAAAAATGCTTTCTATTGACTCCCTTTATACAGCGCTTTCAAAAGCGTTGTCTAATGTATTTTTTAAGGCATCTTTAGGCAGCGCTTTTCTAGGAAAAGCGCTTTCTAAAGTAGGCGTTTAGCAGCGCTTTTTCCTAAAAAGCGCTTTCGTTGTTTCATGTAAATTTAAGTATTTTTTATGTAAAAACGCTACGTATTCTTTCTTTTTTAGAAGGCATATTTTTTAGAATAATTCCATAAACCTGTACTTCAAGCCTTACATTTTAACGACCCTTTATTTCAACAAAGAAGCTATTACATACAAAAAAAAATCATTTTATACCATTATAATACCATTATATACCAAAATATAAACACCATTATAATTCAATTCACATGTTTGCTACTAAGTAGGAGGTGGATGCACTATAATAAGGACAAATTTATGACTATTTCGAACAACAAACTCCAAGAATTTCGTATAAAGGTGATAGTACTCAAGTACAACAAAATCTTCTATTCGAATCTGCTTATATATGATATGTGCCAAATTCGTTTCAGCCTGAAATCGCCAAAATTCGACGAGCGGACGGTCCTGATCCTGCAAATAAGGTATGAACAGAACAACACGGTCAATTAAACTAACTTGGGTCCAACACAATTAAAAAATTTCATAACACTTTTCAACTTCCAATACCTTATATGATTCTTTTCTGAATAAAGTATTCACATAATTCCTCATTAATTCCTTCCAATTGATTTTTCGTGTAATGAGCACACTTGCATTCATCAAAGTACTACATAACAAAACATAATATGCATGATTTAGTTAAAAGTAATAAATTATATGAAATATCCGATAAATATTAAAATAAATCCTAAGTTATAAATCCAAAAGAAGGATTTCTTTCATAAACCTCAAAACAAAGTATCCGCAATCTATATTGTTACGCTGTTGAGCACACTACATAGAAAAACAAATAAGAATGTATAGTTGTCTTTTTTTATCAAGTAGCATCACTATTATAAGCAAAATTGTGAAAATTAATGTACCTCTGCTTTGGTCCATGTAATGTTGTTTGATCTATACTGTGATACTCAAGCTTCTCTTTAAGAGCGGAATACTTGTATTGATCTAACAAAATAAAAACATATATTTAGAACAATCTCACAGAAATAATTAAATATACAAATACATACGAATATTTAGAACAATCTCACTTACGTATCAATCATTAACTTCATATCTGGATAATTTGTCCATTCACCATCTACCGAATTCAGATAATACACCACTTCTTTGAAAGGATCAATAACAACCAACAACCAGTGATGTCTATAAATTAAAACAAAAGTTTAGATGAAAAGCTTCAACATAAAAGATACAAAGATTAGAATGAACTTAGAATGAAGTACTAACCCCACAGGAATCGTATTATACGACAAAAGATACAAGCTTTATGTACTGCTGGCCATGAATCTTTCAACTAAGTGATTTCTTACTGAATCTAGATCCTGAACAATTGACGCTCCGTTGACACGGGAGGCAAACACGAAATGGAATCTGTTTGACAATTGATTCACGCACATCGATTTTTCATACAAGAACCTTAAATAAAAACATAATAAACATTAGACTATTTTAATTTAAATGTGTAAATAAATTGTTCGACTAGTTAAATAATAGATTGATCTCATTACTGAATGTATGAGTGTACAACACCGATGCCTAATTCTGTATGCTGAAAAATTGTTCAATTTCCTCTTTTGCAATTGTTTCGAAGTAAGAAAAACCAAATATACCTTCCTCCATATCCATTTGACGAATAACACTGTTGTACCCCAAAATTTGCCCTCCCATATTCTTCAAGACTTGCAAAGAGCATGCTTCAAAATCTCCCCAAGGGTTGCACAGTTCAAGGGCCTCCTAATAGTCAAAAACTAGGGTTTTGGTTCTGACAAAGAAGTTGAAGTTTCCAAGGGTCCAATCAAGTCCCACATGCCTACAAACATGGTCAAGCATCCTCATGCTAAGTTTCAAGACTTACAGCACAAAATTGCACAGTCAAAAAACCCTAATTGCTCAACAGTCAACTGCAGGGCAAAATGGTCATTTGACAGTCAAAAGTCCAAATTTTTGGTCAACATATCATTTTGAAGCCACAAACATCACTTGATCAATTCT